CGATCCATTTATTTTTAAACACTTCTTATCAATAAAGGAAAATATGATGAAGCACTATGTCTATAAATAAAACAATCAAATCCGCGTTGGATGCGTTTAACTCCGACAGGCTGACACGGTAAAAAACTGTTTGCCTCCATTCAATCACCTGTCCCACCTCACCTGGAGACTTTAACCACAGCATCCGCCCAGGCTACACATAGTGCCCAGTAGAGGGCCAACACACACAACCATAAGGAAAATACCATGACACAAAACAAACACATTATGTGGCTCCAACACACCGGCCCCTAATTGTTGATGGCATGAGGATAGAAACAATTTAAACATATTTGTATAAAGGAGCCAAACTTAAGATGAAAATTGACCAACAATAAATTACAAAACAAATAAAAATCCCTTTGGGTCAGAGTTCACCAGTAATAATCTAATCTTATTAGGTAGCTTCTTGGAGCAGGCACAGTTTAGTTATTGGCCTGTCCAGTATGCTGGGCTTTGTTTTCAGTCTTGCAGAACGCACCAGTCCTTTTTTGTCAGGATAGGTTGTTATGACTCTCCCAAGCAACCATGAGCTGCGTGGAGCAGTAGCATCTGGAAGTTGGTCTGGTAGCTGGAGAGGTGCCTGATCACCCCCCCCCACACACACACACACACACACACACACCATCAGCTCAGGAGCGCCCGCTGTGGGCAGCCCCGTCACTCTGACATCTCTCCATTAGTTCATGTCCATAGGATTATGTGTGTGTATATTTCAGCCTATGTGTGTGTTGCATGACTTACAGAGTGTAAAAACAGAAATGTCCCCTTGTGGGGATCAATAAAAGTAAATCTCTTAATCTCTTAACAAGTCTTTCCTTGGTCAGGTCTGACATTTGTTGCCTGAATAAGCTACAGTTGTTTAGAGCCTTTCTTGTTGCTGCATTAGCACTGGTTACCCAATATTTTCTCGTCAATCTAGAGAGAACATGATTTCTTCCACCAGGCCCACCTGCTCATAAATATGCTTTAGAATCAGAGCAGATACATAGTCATCTTTGGATAGGATAACTGGGTATTTTGTCTCCTCAGGCATGGCTACCTTACTTAGTCTCCCTCCAACTCTAAGCAATCCATTGTCCAGAATGGGGTCCAGTTTGTATATGGTGCTACTATTTTTTACTTCATGTTTGCCAGAGGCCAATGTGGCAATTTCATTGTAGAACCTTTCCTTTTGGGTGAAGCCGATGATGGATGCTTCAGCTTCCAAAAGCTCTTCAGGAGTCAATCTCTGTCCTCTTAATGATGTTTGTGTTCCTGTTAACTTTTCCTTTTTTGCTGATCTCCAATAGAGTCTTCCTTATTTTAAGGATCCATGAAATTGCTCTTTTCAACCTGTCCGAATAGAAGGTTAGTAGTTGTAGAGTCGCATTTTGTGTGTCCTCAACAATCACTGCACTATTTATGAACTCCTTTTTTATTTCAGGGTCATCTGCAGCAATGTTGGGATCCCAACTCCTAGTCGGCCACATTTCCTCTGCTTCCATTTAGTTTCAGCTTTTTCACAAGTGTTTCAGAACAAAAGGTGGCTGTGCTACCCAGATCCAAAAAAGCATATGTCTGTATGATTCTGTTTCCCTTTTTTGACTTTATCTGTACAGGTAGAATGGTTAGAATCCCCTCACTGCTACTGTTACCAGCCCCTGTATGATCACATGATTGCAAAGAAACAACTGTACTATTCACTGATGTTTCTTTTTGCTGTGCTGAGTTTGTGTAGTCAGCTTTAGCTTTTTGTTTAAGGTGTAGAAGAGTAGGATGGTACTGGCAGCAGATTTTGCAAGAAAGGCGCTTATCGCAGTCAAAATGTCAGGGTTAGAGGCATCAAAACAGATTCCTTTCTCTCTTAGAAAGTTTATCTTGTCCCTATGGGTTTTCCTGTCCATTTTGGGGCACTTATCCAGTGTGTGACCTTGAGCACAGCATATACAGACACTGCACTGTTTTGTAGATGGACGCATTTCATGTTGAAAAGGTTTGTTTTGTCTGGATTCCGGAGAAGATGAAGAATAATAATAATAATAATAAAGTTTATTTATGTAGCGCTTTTCGCAGACAAAGGTCACAAAGTGCTTTATATCAACAAAAAACACAAAAACAGCATACATACAATGAAAGAAGAAAAATTCAAAATGAGTATGTCATGGACAACATTATAAAATCCTGCTATAAGCAGAACAATAAAACATAGATGAGTAGGTACACTGGGTGGACCTGATTACCCATAGGCCTGTCTAAACATTAACATGTTTCAATAGCAGTAATAGTTGTTGCAAAACTGTTGCCTTTGAAGTTTGGCCTGGCTTGGGATTTCATTCTGTTTGGGTTTTCACCTCCTGTGCAGTGTTGTGTGTTCTGAATGTTTCCAAACACAGGGTCAGACAATATTTTCATCTCATGTTTGATGAACTTGACAATATCATGAACTGAGCTCTGCGATTACATTTTTCCAATATGTCACATGCAGAGCTTCTCCATTTTTCTCTAAGTTTGTACGGAAGTTTGAGAATTATTGTTTTCATATGTGCAGGCATATCCAGTTCTCTCAAGTACTGTACAATACAATGCATTACAATGCAACATTCTCGTAAAAACAGTGCGTATGCTTGCAAAGATTTCACATCCTCCTGCAAAGATTTCACATCCTCCTGTTTAACTTCAGGCCATTTTAGTACTTTTTCCATGTATGCTGCAGTGATAATGTGTTCATTCCCAAAGTGCTCCTCTAACAGGTGCCTGGCTGCAGAATATCCTCTGTCTGGAGCCATATGCTGGCAGCTACGAATTAAAGTCTCTTGGCTGACCTCTTGTATACTTATCCAGGTAATGTAAGCAGTCCCCTTTGTTGTTGGTGTGATGTTCCACACAATGTTCAAAAGCCCTGATGAAAGTGTTGTACTGCAGAGGATCACCATCAAAATATGGAATTTCTCTTAGTGGCAGTAAATTCAAAGATTGCTGCTTTATTAGAAGAGAGGTGATTTCATTTTGTTTTTCTAGTATATTGTACAAAGCTGGTGTGTTGTGATTTTCTGGGAAAGACGGTTGGAACTGAAATGCAGGATTTGTTATTTGTTCATAAGGGTTCAACACAGGTTTGTCTGTTGGCCGTTTGTGCACTATTGTTGAAATTCCATTTTTGTCTTCAACTTCGGTTTGTGCTGTTTTCATATAAGCATCTGGATTTTGTTGATATTGTTGAAGTGGTGGTCTATTTGAATCCTCAGGTTTTTGTCTGTATTCTTTGAGAGGAGGGCATGAAGTGGTGGACGTGCCCTTTAATTGTTTTCCTTTTTCAAAATATGATTCCATTCCATTTGATTTTGTCGTTGAAAAAGCTTGATGACTGGACGCTGATAACACCGCTGTTTTTGCTGCTAAGGCTGCCATCTCCGTTTCAAACTCAAGTTCCTCTTGTCTCCTCCTGAGCGACGCAGCTTGCTCCTCCAGTGCGTGCTTTTCCTTTCAAACAGATCTCTCTCTGCCTCTGCCTGGATGCGCGCTGAGTCAGTATCAGCTTTGCCTTTATTTGTGGTCCTTGATCTTGTATGACTTCTTCTGCTTGATTTTGTGCTTGAAACTTTGGTTCCAAGATTTGAAATGCTGTCACTCGGATTTATTTCATTCTCAATTCTTTCCTCGTTTCTTTCAGATCCTGAAATTGCTTTAGACATCCATCTTTTCACAACGGCAGTAAATTCACTGAAACATTTTTGCTTTAAACCATATTTCGTTTTTCTCCATTTCATCGGGAGGTAGAAATTGCATGAGCGTTTCGTGGGTTTCCTTTGCCTCGTCATATAGAGTTTTGTATTTGTCGAATGTACAGTGAACCTCAGATTGATATGATTTGTCTTGCATTAAGTTTTGTATTGTCTTTTTAAACTCTGATGCCTTGTTTAGTTTTGCTTTCCGTGTCTTCTGAAGTTTGTCCAGTTTGTCCAGTAATGCTTTTTGGGTCAATTTCACTGAACCTTTTGGGATCACGTGTTTCGTTGTCAACCCCTTGCGCACCCGCAGTGGTGTGCGTTTGAGCAGCAGCAGGCTCATCACCAGCAAAACCTTTGTTTTGCAAACTTAATTCACCATCCATATTTAGCTAATCAAATAAAGTAAATCATCACTCATGATAATAATCAAATACCACAACAAAATACCATACATAAATCAGAGCTCTTTTAATCCCCAGTTCAAACCAAAATACCGGGTTTGCTTGTCAAAATAAACGTGTGCACACAAATAAAACATGGCCATAATGTTTGTAGCACTACGCGTACCTGATTCGTGTCCTTTCCACTGTCCGTGGATGACCGATCAAGAGTGCACTGTGTCCCAAGTTCCATGAAAGCAAAGTTTTTTTACTTAAATTGTCGTGACCAATTTTAACAAACCCAATATTGTTTAGAAAAGTCACTTGAGGGATGAATGTGGAAGCTTTCGGACGCGTGCTTAGCTCGAAGAAATTAACAAAGTCTGTTTACCTCCATTCAATCACCTGTCCCACCTCACCTGGAGCTTTAACCACAGCATCCGCCCAGGCTACACATAGTGCCCAGTAGAGGGCCAACACACACAACCATAAGGAAAATACCATGACACAAAACAAACACATCATTTGGCTCCAACAGTGGGGGGTCCACAGTCTCTGACTGCCTTATTTTAGGGGTTAAGGAGGAAGCTGAACAGTTTGGGAACCTCTCGGTCGTGGCACTGGAACGATTCAACAAGTTGATCAGGCTGAAAACATTTTCAGAAAGTTTCCCATTTTACCAAAACTCACCCAATAAGGTGAAAACAAACCAAAAATGGTGACCTGTTAATCTAAAGCTGACATAACCAAAGACACTGCACTGTCAACAGACCAAAGGTGAGTTATCCATTCATCATGATATCATCCACTGTAATCAGGACTGTATGGAGAACTCACCTGAACTCAGGTAGCATAAATCACACCTTAAAGTACAGTTAGCTTCTATGTCTAATATCTAAAGAAAACAGAAAAAAAAACCCTGATGAAAAAGTGTAAACACACAGAGAGCAGCATTTCCTCTTCTGGTTTGATTGACACACAGATGGGAGGGTCGATCCCACTTCAAACCAGTCTAAGTCCCGCCTCACGGTGCGGATCCTACTGGAGACTTGAGGCTATAAAATGAAAGATCTTACTGTAACCGGGACGCACTCTGGAGCTGGAGTCCCCTTTGTGAACTCCCTCACAGAGACTCCAGTCAGCCCGATGCTTTAATCAGTGCTCACACAGAGAGAGATATCGCTGTCGATTTCCTCTCACTTCTAAGCAGAAAACTTTTTGATAAGGTCGCCGGGTGCAGACGGAGCCGAGCAGAGAGCCATGGCAGGGGGCGGCTCGGACCAGCGCGCGCTGCAGTATGAGCAAACTCTGGTAAGTGTGACTTGTTGCTCCGCTGAACTTTGTCCACTCTTATTACCCTGTGTGCACACGACAGTCAAGCCAGACTCCATTGACAAATCTGTCAGCCTTCTCTTGCTGGCCACACATCTGGTGTTAAAGCGGCATGACAGCAAACTGTTCTAAAGTCTTCGTGTCTTTCAAACGAACGCCTGTCGGTGCGTAATCAGGACGCCGAACCAAACACTGTGTCCATGTGATTCTGGAAACTTCCACCTGAGTGTGTGTATTTGCAACCAACCATAGGTTTAGCAAAAGTTGTCATTTTTTGAACGGGGTTCAGTGCCGTGCTCGCTCACGTGAACGTGCCCGAGGTTTGTGGTGTCGGAAACGGTCTCGCTTATCTGTCTGCATTTTTCTCTGAGTTTACTTTGAGCTGGCACACATAACTAAGGTCAAGTTATTGTATTGTCTAGCCACCAGCTAAACAACAGTGCAGGTAGCATGTTAAAGCAGCTGTAACATCTGGATTTGGGCTAGCCCACTTCATCTAGTCTTGATTGAGGCCAAACTCCACAGTCAGAATTCAAATCTGCTTAAAAAAGCTCCACATTTATTTTCTGAACAGACTTTAAAAATGATTTCATGCTTGTTTTGAGTTGCAGAAATGTGCTGACAAATTCGGCATAACAATCCAAACATCAAACATTTATTTATGTGTCACAAATATCCACTTTTCCACTCGGGACACTCTTTGTCATCACGCAGATCCCACGGGGGGACGACAGCGAGCTGTGGGAAGAGTTTAAAAGTTGAAATGTGATGAAATAAAGCTCAGCTTTGGGGCTTAATGGATCAGCCGAATTCCCAGCAGGCTCTCAGTGATTTATGAAAGGCTTGGAGTGATGTATTGTACGTTTAGCATATTTGTCAAAAAGCAAATTTTCTCTCCCTTGACATGTGTTTGAGTTTAACTGATTATTATGTGCATTGAAAACTGTGATTTTATCATCAGTGTGACCTCTCTGCATGCAAGCGGATGATGTCATCTTCACACCAACTACAGTACAGTAGACAGCGGGGTCACTGCGTGTGTCAGAGCTCAGAGAGTGTAGGCTGCATTGATATCACCAACACCACCAACAATGGATGGATTCACTGTTGTTCAGCCTGTGTGCTGAGAAAAGCTGCTGTCTGCATGTGCGTGCAGAATGTGTTGTAAGACGAGATGCGTCTGAGAGTTGTGCAGGTGTCCAGCCGCTCCGCACAGGTTAACCTTTATGCAGCGTGCATAGACGGTGATTTGAGTTTCAGCTTTATAAGTGACTGTTCCCCTGAGACGTTGCACAATGTGATTTCCTTTTTTCAGCTTGCATAACTAGTCGAGTGTTGCTTGGCTTCAGTGGTGGTCTGTAACAGTTGGTTGAGGAGTTCGATATCAGACCTGATTGATGCAGAAGGGGGCTCGTGAGAATTTGCATTAATTAGGTCACATCAGAGCCCCTTTGGACCCCTTATCATCGGTGCACCCTTTGGACGTCCATACAGGCTGTTTTTGAATGACTGTGTAGAAATGCATGATAACAATAAATGGATATAAGTCAGGAGAAATCACTGGTGAAGGGGGGACATTATTCTTACACATTTATTATCGCTTCAGTGAATCAATTTCACATAAAGTGCTCTTTTTAAATCACGTTGCCGCCTCTAACGTCTTTCCAACTCAGTGTGAGGTGCACTGATTCCCAGCATGACCTTCAGCAGGATGAAGCGTTTGGTGATGTGTGTTTTCATGTAAGTCTTTAGTTGCACATTTCCTCACAAACTTCTGTCGAGTCTCGTGAATCTGCTGTTTGAAGAGACGTGTTTTATGGCTAACTGAGCCATTCAGCGGCAGCAGGACTTTAAATGAAGAGGAGCCTCAACTGTAACACCTCTCTGGCTCTCTGTTTCCTTTTCTTGCAAAAGTTTCTTTGTACAGAGCCCCCCTCCCTCCCTCTTCTTTATCCTGCCTCCATGTGTGCTGTTAATCTGTGTGTGTGTGTGTGTGTTTGTGTGAGAGATTACACAACGTGCGACCCGCTGATTCAGCGCTGGACGCTCTGTCACCCTGGCGGGGTCTCGTGCTCGGCCCTCCGGCTTTCTGAAAAGAACGTGCAGGCAGCTCTGTGCAACAGAAAAAGAAAGACGCACCTTTCCTGTTAATGGACGCTCAGTCTGCTGTGTTTGGATGATTCACATGAACAAAGTTGTGACAAAGCGTTCAAACAGAGTCAAATAAAAATAGCAACAGTGAGAGAATAAGCTCTGTGACCATAAACGAGTTCTCTGTGCCCCCCATCTCTTGGCTGTGGGTTGTAGTAACATGGTGTCTTTGTGTGATACTGGCAGCCATGATGGTTGTGTGGGTTTGTTGTGGGCAGAGGATGCTCAAAGAGGCCAGTGTAGTTTGGCTGAGAGAGAGGCTGACAGGCTGAAGCAGGCCGGGCCAACAGTGAAGAAAAGCAGCCTCGACGTCTCGTCAGATACGTCCAGACTCATGCATCACTTTTTATTTTTAAAAAGCTCCGACCGTCTGTAGGCAGATTTGGGCTTCTTTGTGTACAATATGAGTCTGCAGAAGTTATTACTTTTCTTTATTTAAATCAGGGACAGTGAACATTAATGAGCATGTGGTAAAGTGTTGCACATGATCATGAGGTACTGATGGATAATACACATTCGCCCTGCGGCTGTTTTAGTCAAGAACTAGAGAGAAGAAGAACATACTCACTGATTATTTGGATGTTAGTGAGAGTTTTTAGATCACGCTCATTCTGTGTCAGTTTTCATGAAATGTGAAGATACGAGCTAACTACAGAGCGCTAACATTAGCATGCTAACACAACGATGCAGAACACAGGTGATTGCTGCTCGAGCACAGAATGATTTTGTCCGCCGCTTGGGCTTAACGTTTCTTAATTATGGCGCGTTCTAATCGAAAACTCATTCGTGTGAACACGAGGGAAGGGGTGTTGGAGGTGTGTCTCTGGAGGAGAGCGGAGGCTTCAGTATGGAGGAGGTGTGCCCAAACAGCAGTTTGTTTTGGTTTCATGCTGGTGCTCGAGGGCGACGTCTACTGGATCAAAAGGTTGCACATTCCTCCTTTAATGAATGACGCAAATTGCACACATTGCCTGAATGCTTACTTTGACTCACAGGTTTACACATTTTTCAAATATCTGTCATTGACTAACTGGTTCCACTGCTGCGTGGTCATTTAAGTGCAAGAGACGAGAAATATTAGTGTCAGCCTCCGACAGTGAATTAATGAAAATCTGTTTTAAATAACGGTTTATTAAATATCATGTTTATCACAAATGACCGGGAGGAGGAGTACGACTTTAATATGAGCCCTGAAGTGATTGCTGCTGTTTGAAGGATGCCGCACATGGTTGACCTTTGATCTCTTAGTTACACTCTTCATGTTGTTATGCATGTTATAAAAAAAAGTAGTGCAGAGTAATCAGGCCCTAATACGTGTGGTTGAGGGGGGGGATTAGAGGAACCAAATCAATAAGTCGCACAGGAACAAAATGTTCTTTGCCAGGAAGTCTGAGAGGATTAAATACCACTGTTTCCCACACTTAGACGATACTCAGGTATATTTCTGACTGGTTTTTATTTTTTCATAAAATGATAAAAAGAGTAAGAGAGAGAGAGATGATACACTGCACAGAAGCTTCAGAGGTGGGAGAGAGAGAGAGAGAGCGAGAGAGAGAGAGAGAGAGTCCACAAGGCGTATGTCCCTCTTGTTAATGCACAGTATGAGGTACGATGCTCATGTCTGAGCTGAAGCTTCGGTTCAGTATTTTTCTGCAGCTGCTTGCTGCTGATGCTGTCCTGCTCTCCTAGTTCAGGATGTTGATGGGGGGGAGCATCAGTCATTCCCACCCTGGTGTGTGTGTGTGTGTGTGTGTGTGTGTGTGTGTGTGTGTGTGTGTGTGTGTGTGTGTGTGTGTGTGTGTGTGTGTGTGTGTGTGTGTGTGTGTGTGTGTGTGTGTGTGTGTGTGTGTGTGTGTGTGTGTGTGTGTGTGTGTGTGTGTGTGTGTGTGTGTGTGTGTGTGTGTGTGTGTGTGTGTGTGTGTGTGTGTGTGTGTGTGTGTGTGTGTGTGTGTGTGTGTGTGTGTGTGTGTGTGTGTGTACTTTGAGGGTGTGTCTGAATGTCTATGATACCCATTAATTAATGCTCAACTCAATAACTTAGGGAAGGAAGTCTACTTTTACACAACTTCTTATTCTTTCGACATTTTTTTTTACCAAATACTAATGCAATTAGTTTCTTAAAGTGGGTTGGAACAGAGTCATTGCAAAAATATGACCTTAAACACAGCCCCATTCTTAAATCAAGATACATGGAGAGTAAATAAGATCAATAACTTGTGAATAAAAACAGTTAAAAATGATTTAGAAATGTAGTCTTCCCTGATCAATATCACATAATATCAACTTCTCCCATCTAAACTGGACAAAGGGTTTTAAAATGGGAAGAAAATGGTTTGATTGCAAGTTGTTTGAAGGAGATCTAGTTTTATTTGAACAGCATGAATACAGTCTTCCAAGGTGCAAACCCTCCTCCTCCTCCTGAAGCTTGTGGAGCTCCTTGATGTACTGCTGTCCTATCTGCTGGCCATCTTCTCTCAGCAGAACTTCAACTGTTGAAAAGTCATTCAGAAGAAGCCATGTGACATGGATCCAGGAGAACATGAACTTTTAATGAGGGGTCTTCAAGATGGCAAAGAAAGAGAGAAAATATCAGTTATTCATTAAATCATTTTTTTGTTCTCATCTATTTTTCTGTATTCATCTGTGTGTAAGAGCACATTTATGAATTCAACAGTGTACTACCCAGACAACAAAGGTACAGTATTCAGGTAATCAACATCTATTCAAAGTTAAGATAAACATTATTGTAATCGTGCTGTTTTCAGCTCTCTCACTCACACAATGATATTCCACATCAAATGGTCTCAGATTTAGTGTGAGGAAAAATT